CTCATTGAGTGGCACAACCACCCGTCATCTCGTCATCATAGATAGCTCTCTAGCTGTCAGCCTCTTATAGGACCTGCTCCCCTCAGAGTCTGCAAAATTTAATTAAGAAATAAATTATATATCAATGAATTAAAACAATTTCTATATAAATTAAATAGTTGTCAAATTTAAAAAAGTTAAATAAATACTTACCCTCAAATTCCATCTCAAAACCGGCCTGACGTCTAGGAGCAAGACGTTGCTCAGCATGGGGATTCTCATTCCCTTGAACCTGCTCCTCCTCCTCCTCCTCCTCCCTCCTCCTCCTCAACAGCATCAGCATCAGCATGGGGTTGTTCATCTCCAATAAAATGAGCCTCCTCAGTCGGCTCGATATCGTCCTGCTCCATAAAGCTGAGGAGATCCTCCTCGTGAGATCGTAGTCATGAATTCTGGGGAATGGCTCACCAGCATCATGACTACCATCACGACGATCCTCACTGGGTCCTGCCCTCTCAGGATCAACTGGCGCCTTCCCTGGTCGACGACTCATCCTAATAACAACAAATAGTAATTATTTATAAATAAAATAAAAAGAGAAATTATTTATAAACAAAAATATAATAAATTAAATAAAAAAGAATAGAAATTATTTATAAATAAATTACTATTTCTACCTAAAAATAGGGATCTGCAACTGAATCCGAACTCGGATATGTTTTGTGGAGAGAATTCGGCAGAGCTTCGCTTCACGAACGAAACAGTGAAAATGACCGTGGGGGGTATATATAGGCAGCGAATTTCTAGCAGTTTTACCCAAACCGCTAGAAATTTCTAGCGGTTGTCGCTAAAACTGCTAGAAATTTCTAGCGGTTGGCCGTCGTATTTAGGGCACCTCGGGAAATATACAAATTTTCTAGCGGTTTCTGAGTTAACCGCTAGAAATTTCTAGTGGTTTTGGCGACAATCGCTAGAAACTGCTAACGGTTATTAAAACCACCTCGAGAGAATTAAATATTTTTTAGCGGTTTTATCAAAAACCGCTAGAAAAGTGTATGATTTACTAGCAGTTCACCGAACCACTAGAAAATTGGACGACCCTTTACATTTTCTAGCGGTTTGATCACCCAAACGACTAGAAAATAAACACTAGAATTTTGGCGCCAAGTTCGCGTCAAAACCTGGGAAGAGTTCTAGCTGTGATTTTCTAGCGGTTGGCATATAACCGCTAGAAAATTACGGGCCCCACAGTCTTTATGGTCAAAGCGATGCTAATTTCTAGCGGTTTGTCGTAAAACCGCTAGAAATACATAAATTTGTAGCGGTTTGTTTGAACTGCTAGAAATGTTCCGCTGCTAACTTGCTATTTTCTTGTAGTGCTTCTTAATGCCCCAACAAGAAAGCTATGATCGTGTTGGATAATGGGGACATTACAAGTGTTAGCTCTAGTGATGATGACATGTACTATAAATAATGTTACAAGTGTTTATGAAAATAATATTCATAAACATCTCGCCACATGTTTTCCTTTTGCTTTGTTTTTTCTCCATCACTATTGATTAAAGCCTTAATCTTTATTTTCATTCCAATTTACTTTTGCTGTTGGCTTTCTTTTTCATTTTATCATCGATAACATATTATACAACAATGGACTTTCTGAGAACTGAGAGTTCTACTTTCTGTGAAATTACCAACGAATGCAAGCTTCTTGATTTCCCAATAACATAGTTGTAATTGGATTGTTTGTAATATATTAAGATCTTTTTTTAAAAGAATTAGAAAATTTAAATCCTCCCCCATCGGAGAAGGGAATAAGTTTGAAATATTGTTCACAAATATTCAAAATCGTAATAAGATGCAGCACACAGCCATAACATTAAAACCCAATGGAAGCCAAAGTATATATAATCCCTAAAAAATTATTAATCACTAAAGGTAAAGTGAAATAATCAGTGATCTACTAGCATTTAAAATTACTTATCACTGTTATCTTATACAATATTTTGCAATGTGCAATTAGGAAGTATTAATTGCTCGAAACGATCATATAATATTTTGCCAAAGTTCCTAAGAATTTCATATAAATTAAGCATTTTGAGAAAGCACTTGGAATTCCCATACTGTCTTTGTATACCTTTCTAAAAAAGGCAAATGACACCAAATCTTGGATTCAATGCAATATTAATAAATCAAATTAATTAGAGAAACCTATTGAGATTAATTTGTTAACATGGGACTTATTTGTCAAATCACTAATGCATTTAGCCATAGTTGGATTTGAATGCTGCCAAAGGAAACGGATAAATGAAAAAGAAAAACAATCAAAAGTGAACGAGGTTTTCAAGAAGAGGTGAAGTTGGTAGTCAAGATGATACAATTTGACCAGTTTATTTTATTTTATTATTAGAGATTATGAATAATTAATTATTTTATTATATTCATTATTATTCAGCATAATGACAACCAAATCACAATTTAATATTTCATTTTCTACATCATCCATCCTTGGGGGCGTCAAAATAGACGGACTTTGAAATCACTTTTAGCAAAATGCTAAATGAAGAATCAAATATTTCACCATTTTTTTCACAAACAACTCGCCAACTACTACAAATTATATAAATATATATATATTTTTCTTTTATAACTTGACTTAAACAGTTAAAATGTTTTAGCCATTTGCTATTGATTCCTATTTTTAATCATCGTTTGTATATCACGTGGAATTATTTCCTTAAAAAAGCCTCACTTTTTTACTTCTAGAATAACTGAATAAGAAGCCATCCATCCATTTTCTCTCCTGCTAGTATATACCTAATTTTCTTTCCAAGGTGAGAAAGCTCAATTTTCGCTATAATAAAAAGTAATTACTATAATTAATACATCTCATTATTTAGCATAATCACTGCAAGAAATAATAATAACTTTAAATAATGACTTTCAATTGCGACATTTTTCTGCAGTAATAATAAATGTTGCCCCTGAAAATGTATTTTTAGAGGCGATTTTTCAGAGTTGATGCTGAAGGTCAATTTTCGAAAATGAAACTTTCAGCAGCACTGCTGAAAGGATGAAGATATTGTGTTTAGCAAAGTATAAACTTCCAGTCATGAAAACAATTGCTAAAAGGTGTTTTCAGTAACAATCTAATGTCGCTACTGAAAGGTGCTTTTAGTGGTGACCTCTATTGTCACCATTGAAAGGTGGTTCCAAATGTTGCCACTTAAAGCAAATTTTTGTTGTTGCTAAAGGGTTTCTTAGTGGCGACTTTTGTTGTCGTTAAACCTACACTTTCACAGGCGACAAAGTATTAATAACAATCGCTATAGAAATGATTTGGGGCAGCTTTTTGTTGCTGTTAAAAGTCATTTTTTTAAGGAATGTTAGGAATACTTGTAAAAGAGTATATGTGATATTAGTTACAAATAACTAATTAAAAATATTTTCTTAATACTAATGAATTAGTTAAAATTGTTAGGGCTGAAAGAGAGCATATGATGTGGGGTAAGTGTTTACAAAATACAGGGATAGAGGAGGTAGTTTCAAATAAAAATGAAAAAAAAAAAGTGTAGCAGAAGTGAGTTGCCTGGTCCTTTTATGTTGTTCCAATATTGGAAGGAGACTTTTTTTGACCAGAATATTGGAAGGAGACTTTGAATCATTGAGTTGAAGCTGTTTTCAAAATCATCACCTTTGCCTCTGACAAGCCACCCACACTTCATTGAAATTTTTGCATTATTAACGGGAGGCCTCAAATCTAAAGGGAACCCGATTGTATTTCCTTAATTGCACCATATCACAGGGTTTCTTTGTTTCCAAAACATGACCCAAAGGTGACAACACTTTCTTTTCTTCTCACCATCAATCGAACCTTCCTAATCGCCCGGCGATAGTTGGTATTTGAAGCAAAATCAAACCTTGGGTTTAGTGGAATAATAAAACTTACTTTCTAGCAGAATGCATAATCTAATTCCCCACATTTCTTCACAAGGAGGTATGTCTATCATTGGTAAAGCTTTTCCTTTATCATCTAGACAACGATCAATTTGATTCTCAAACCTTGACGATTTTAGTGGAATAATAAAACTTAATTTCTAGCAAGGAAACTGGTTCCGTTGTTTGACGGAGGGAGTGGCAATTTTTCTTTGAAAAAATGCATGTGAATGGGAAGAAAAGTGTGGAAGTTAAATATGGAAGATGTTCTTCAGGCTCATAGTTAGGTTCCCTAACAGATTCCACAACATGAGCCTTAGGCCTGGGCTGATCTGCTGACTGAAATAGATTCAGGAATATGAATATGGAGCGTAGATGTCGCAGTATTCTATCTCATATAGCAGGACTAGTAAGCTCATTGCTGTCTTAGCTTTCTCCGTCTAAAACCAAAACCTGGAATTGGTTTGAATGCATAAGTAGAAGCAAGCATTATAATGCAATAAACTCAAAGGGGGCTCATCTAAATTCAATTTTGAAACCAATCTATTGTCTTTCAGTTCTTGGTACGTTCTGCTAATTGTATTTGTTCCATTTTGCTTTGGGCATGAAATGATTTTGTGGATAGTGCTAAAACGCTTTCAAGTGTTTTTAGGAATAGGCATATGAAAACAGAATATAGTGATCCTAACCATTTAATTGAGAACTTATAATCACAAGGCTGCAATTTTGGATCTCAATCATAACACCAACTTTGAAATTCATTAATAATCAACAGATAAGGGATATTGTCAGATTACAATATCACGTACATTGCATCATCTGCACTGAACTACATCCATGAATAATCTAGTTTGACTTCATCTTCTGGGCATAAAGCTGAGGTTTCACGTTCTGTGATAGGAGTCCGAGAGGTTTCACTCTGTAACAAAGTATATTGTGCAAAAGTATTCAAATAACAATTTGTTCATTCTTAAAAGAGATTTAATTTTGTGGTTCATTATTAACTTCTTTGTACTAATGAGAAGTAACAACAATACCAGCACAAAAATATTACAAAAGAGACTATGGAGCGAAAGCAACTTGCCACACTAGAGTCGTTCTAAATCACCTTCGCGAATGAAACGCCATCCACACTTGATTGACTCTACATCAACCAATCTTAATGGAGGCTGTTCCCAACCAGTACAAAATTTCAAGCGAATCTCACTGTAATTCCTTGATAGTTCACCTCTGTTTTCCTCTTCAATTTTCCAAAACGCTATCCATAGATGGGAAGATTTTATTTCTTTCTCATGTTCACGTGTCCTCCCTTGAAGGGACACATACTTACCATCGGAAGCTTTGAAATCAAACCCCAAGCGAGGCAAACAAATCTTATCATCAATTACTGTGCACAACCCAATTCCCAACCATTCATCTTCAGGCATGTCTATGGTTACAGAGGCTTCACGTTTCTCATTCAGACGAAGATGATTCTGATTCTCAAACCATGATGGTATTTCACTCCCTGGAATAGTCACTGAAAAAGACTTAATTCTCCTTAATTCTTGAGCATGCTGGCCATCCCAAAACCAAGAAATTTATCATGTCACAAATTGTATAAAATTAACAACCCAAGATATGTATGGATTTGTGGATGGAAAACATAAAGACAAGTGTTTACATACCTGTTCAATTGAAGCAAAGAGATGTAACAATTGTCTGTCTGACAAAGTTCTCAATGAACCACATTCTCCGACATCCATTAGATTTAAACTCGGCGAAGGCTGTGGCAAAAATTGAAGCTTTGGGCAAGAATTCAAATAAAAAGACTGTAGATTCAAAAGATTAGAAATGCAGCCATCAGGTAGATTCATAAACACGTTTCCACTCAAATCTAATGTCCGCAATGATGATAAGCCATTGAGTTCATTAGGAATGATCCCATCAACAATATTGCAGTAGCTCAAATCTAATTCTGTCAATGATTGAATATTGAAGATAGAAGCAGGCAATGTTAAGTACTTAAGAGATGAATGACTCTGAAACATTTGGCTCCAAAGAAGAGACCACACACTTGAATTGGAAGTTGGATTTTTGCATCCATGAAATGCTAGTGCCTTTAATTTTTTTAAATGACAAATAGAAGAAGGTACTTCTACGATAGCTGTTCCACTTGCATCAAGCTTTTCCAAGGCTTCATTTTCATTGAGCTTTTCTGGTAATGCAGAAAAATTTGAGCAGCATGAGATATCAAGAACTTTCAGACGCTTCAATTTGTGAATGTCATGGGGAAGGCCAACAAGCTTTTGGCAACCCCTTAAATCCAAAGTTTCAATCCCTGTTAAGTATCCAAGGGACTTAGGAAGTCTGGTTACACTTGTCTCTTTGACATCAAGTGTTCTAAGCTTTTCCATATTTTCTTCAAATTCCGGAAGAATTCTTACTCGAACACACCCACAGAGAACTAATTTTTCTAGAGAATCCATTTCCAATTTTTGGGGAAGGACTTTAAGATTAATGCAACCTTTCAAATTTACTTCAACAAGACAGTGAAGCTGTCCGAGTGAAGAATGAATTTCAACAAGTGATGTGCAGCCTTCAAGAATCAGTCTTTTTAAATTATGATATCCAACAAAATTTGGAGTTTGAAGGAGATATTTGGAATGGCTTAAGTCCAAAATCTTTAGCTTCTTCATAGACTAGTCAAATAAATGGTACAAGAAATCAGTCATAAAAAACTTTAGTTTCAACAGTAATTTATGTGAGAATGCTTATAAAGTATCTAACCTGTTTATCATTAGAAAGGCGCTTTATTTTGCTATTGTGCATTTTGAGATATCTGATTTGATCCATCTTCACATTAGAAGGAAGAGATTCCATAGGATATCCATACCAATGAAGAACTTTCAATATTCGAGGAAGACCTCTGAAGGGAAGGGAAAGATTAAAATTACTTGATATGATAAGCATTCCAAGCAAACACAATTTTAAAAAGGCTTCAGGATTCCAATCTACTTCATCTTTCTCAAAGCTATGAGGCAGAACCATGCCTTCCGTTGCTTCAGTTCCCTAATTAAAACATCATAGTGACTAAGATCTTATCAGAAAATGTGAGCAAATAATGAACATAGAAATTCAGCACCAAAAAAAAAAAAGAATATTATTATTTTTGGAAAATTAGGTTCTCACCATGTCACTTTCCATTAGTTGGTCAATGTCATTGGGAAGCCACAGTCTACTGCGTCTTCCAACAATAATAGGAGATTCCTCAATAACAATCAGTCTACCCATCTCTTGAATCAAATCATGCATCTCTATATATGTAGTACCGCCAATCTCAATTTCAGCAAGCAAAGATTTTTTTCGAAGGCTACCTAAACTAGCTGGAGCAGGAAGTCCACAACCTGCCAATATTTGAATTATTTCATCTTTTCCCCACCTGTTAAAAAAACAGGCAATATCTAAAAATATTGTCTTTTCTGCACGATTCAGTTGATTGTAGCTTATTCCAAGTATCTTAAAAATGTCATTATTTGAATCTTCTATCAACAATTGCAAAGCATCTACCCATTCTGTTAAATCATCTCTACCACAAAGGAAGGAGCCTAAAACACAGAGAGCCAAAGGAAGGCCATGTGCATAACCAATTGCTGATCTAGCCAACTGCCAAAATTGATCTTCATTAGCAGGGACACCTCTTCCTCCAAATGCTTTCTGATAAAAGAGTTGAAGAGATTCTGCATCGGTCATGGGTGTAATCTCATATATTTCATCAACTTCATGACATGTCAGTAAGTCTAAATCTCTAGTTGTTATGAATATTCTACTGCCATCACCAAACCACTTTCGGCTTCTAGCTAAACTCCGTAACTGTCCTAGATCACTTGCATCATCAAGGACAAGCAAAACCTTTCTGTTGCGGAGAAGGTATCCTAACATGTTCTGTCCTTCATACGTGTCTTCAATATGTAAGTCTTTTACGTTGAAATGTGAAAGCAGTAGTTTCTGCAAGTGAAGTATGCCATTTCTTTCAGCTGAAACCTCCCTAACATTGGCAAGAAAACAAGGAAAATCAAACAGGTGATGGAGCGTCTCATAGATAACTCTAGCAAGAGTGGTCTTGCCAACACCGCCCATGCCCCTTATTCCTATAAACCGAACGTCATCCAACCCTATCCCTGAGATTGAAAGCATTTCGTCTACCCTCGGCTCAATTCCAACCAGTGCATCACTATGTGCCTTGACAGGTGGCAGTACAGAACGAAGTTGGCCCCATAAATTTTCAACCACATCCATAATGAGTGCTGCTTCGTCCCTACAAACACAATTTTTTCCGTCAAGCATATTACTTGCCATCAAACGTGCCATGCTAATTGCTACTTATTTTCTTTTTAATTTTTAATATATATAAAAAATTCAAGGGACCCCAAAGCGAAAGTAAACAAGAAAGGCGTGCATGAGCGTGGCAGAAAATTAAATATGATAAATATTTAATGATTGATCTACATATAAATGAATAAGGGAGCCAAACCAATTTTTGCATCATCATGCGTGATTTTTTTAATCTTGTAAAATCTTTCCATTTTAAAAATTTTAACTTCGAGCACTCCAAGTTTTAGGGGTGAAGAAAACTTTCAATGATGAGAGAAATTACATTATAAATATTTTAATTGAAAACTAATTTTCTTGACTTAAAAAAATAACTAACAACAATCACTCTTCTGTTATCTTTAAATATAAGCAACATTTTCAAATTATTTAAACTTTTATAGCAAATTTTCTATTTTACCCTTATTAAAGAATTAATTTAATATATATTTTTTTGAATTAATTAATCTGCAAGTCCTTATAGTTTCAACTAATTTTGAATTAGGTCCCTATAGTTTTTTTTCTTTTATCAAGTATTTTACAACTTTACGTTTTTAATTTATAAGGTCCTTGCATTATTTTTCTTTTTATCAAGTCCTTATAAGTTGACCTTATTTTAATTAAGTCCCTTGAATTTTTTATTCTCTATTTTACAAATTCTAATAGTAGTATTCTATAAACATAAAATGTATATATTATTTAATATTAGTTTATAAACAATAATATTCTAAAAATATGAATATTATAATAATTTTATTTTTTTAACAAAAAAAGTAATTGTTCCGAAACATTTCCTGAATTAGTTATTTATATTACTTATTTTTATTTCATATAATTATTAATCTAATTTAATTATTAATATTTTATATTTCAGCATTAATCTATTAATTAATTTTATATTTAATTAATAATAAAAATTAAAACTACATGGACCTTATTAAAAATTTAATGAAATTATAAGGACTTAATAAAAAGAAAAATAAGTGCAAGGACCTAATTAAAACAGATGAAAATATAAGGACCTGATAAAAAGAAAAAAAACTACAAGGATCTGATTCAAAATTGGTTGAAACTATAAGGACTTGTAGATTAATTAACCCTTTTTTTTCCTCAAAACATCATTTTTTAGATAATAAATGTTTTGAATGTTATATTTTAACACAATATCTCTTTATCACGTATTTTTTCTCTTTCATAATTCTTTTCATTTTAATATTTTTTTACTTTCTTTTTTATACTTTCTCATAAATAAGAATATTTTGAAATTTGTTTTTAACTTCTATACATTTATGGTGTTTAACCAAGCCTTTTGTGAAAAGAAACCCAGAGATAAATGTTAGGAAGAATTACAATAAGATCCCAAGCAAGAAAAATAATTGAAAAATAAGTATCAGAAGCCGTCATTCTTCACTATAAGACTTGTCATTATATACTGTTGAGGTTGTTATTGAGACTTTTTAGTAATTATTTTTTTTCCTGTGAGACTTGGTTGCAATTCCCCCTAAATGTTAAGTCCTGTGCAGTTGCATCGAGTTTTTAAAAAAGCCATAGATCGTACATTATGTTATTAAATTTAATAAGAAAATAATGACGCACAAAATAACCCATGGCTTTGCTTCACAAATAGAATTATATAGATATATAGCTGGCAAATAAAATTATCTAGGTATATAGATTCTTCTCTTTAAAACATTTTATAACAAACATTTTCAACATATAATCATCAGGTGAAGTATGAAGTAATTATAAAAAGATTTATGAATTTGATAGTATGAAGTAGTTATTAAATTTTTTACTGTCAACTAAAAAATTCTCTCTCTAAAAAGAACATGAAAACACATGGAAATATGTTGGATGCACCTATATATGCCATGTTTGATGAACTAATACAAATAATTTATACAAGTAATTCGATTTCATTATATGATAAAAAAAAAATACCGGTAATTACGGGTATCAAAACCAGCTAAATGGGCCACTTCTGTTAGAGAATCCCTCCATTTTTTCACCTTCGACTGGGGCTTACCGCGTGCAAGTTTGGCAAAAGCTTCACCAAATATTCCTCGTTGGTTTATCACATCTGGTGGATGTACACGATAAAAGATAGGGAAAACTATTTGATCTGAGTTATTTCTTGAGGTAAGAATATGTTGGAGCTCATCTAAACACCAAAAAGAAGAAGCATAATTTTCAGAGAGAACAACAACTGCAAAGCGAGATTCTTCAATTGCTTGCAGCAGTTCTTGTGAGATAACTTCTCCTCTTGTAAGTCCATAGTCTATAAAAACATGGAATCCTCTCCCACCCAACGCTTGATACAAGTGGCTTGTGAAGCCTTCACGAGTGTCTTCACCTCTAAAACTTAAAAAAACGTCATACTTCCAGGTTCTTCGAGTTGGATTGGAGCTAGAAGAATCTGAGGAAAATGCTTCTTTGTTATTTCCCATAAATGTTTGAGCCAACTTGTGAAGAATAATTTGATCAGCCACTAATAATATACCACGGCCTACAACAACTGAAGGAAATATCTTGGATGATCAGAATATGAGATGGTGAGAATAGGAGGAAAAAAAGGAGTAGATATACAATATATGCCGACCTGGGCTGACAGCTGTATGAGGGAATTGTCTAAACTGTAAAGCTTAAAATATATTTATATATGTATGTGTGTGTGTGTGAGCTTCAAGGCTCGCGACTGACGGCACGCATGTGATCTTTCCCGGAAACTTCTTGTCACTGTATGCCCAAAGAGCTAAATGCTTTTTTTGACCAAGGACTTGGAAAAATGAATGTGAAAGTAAGGAAAATACTACTTCCAATTCTAATTGATTTATTTCTTATAAATAAGCTTGGATCGGGGCATTCTTTCCATGCTCCATCCCGCATGATTGCGACTTGTGTCGCCATAATCAAGTCAACCCCGCGTATGCTACAACTTCTAATGTATCAAAAGAAAAGTTATCTTTTCATGCGGGAACCACAATATGTCAGCTTTTAAGAGGTGTTTGGATAAAACTAAACTATGATTTGAAAAATAGCTTCTGAGAGAAAAGTTATTTTTGAAAATAGATTTTAGAAAAATATATTTTATGAAAAAGTGATTCTGATAAAGTGAGAGTGTTTGGATAATTATCATCAAAAGTCTTTTTTTTATGTGCATATTACCAAAAAGTATGTTAGTTGAATTAGTTAATATGATATATTTTTTTAAAACATCATAAACATCTTTTTTAATTTCTTCTTTCTTCTCCTATTTGATTATTGTTGAGGGAACATTAATAAAGTTAATTTGAAAAAATTGATAATCATATAAAATAGGTCTTATATTTAGGACTAATATTAACTTTTTAATTAGATCCTATATTAATCACCGGAGGAGTAATAAATTGTTAATATTTTTTACCAACATAATAAATAATATAATTAATTAATTATTAATATGTGCATATATATTTATAAAATATAAGATTAAATATGTTTACTGTTGGTTTGAGTATTACTGCACATTTACTGTTGGTTTGAAGGCATGAAGCTTTGTGTATTCCTGTTTACTTTTGACAGTGTAAAGGCAACAAAAACGTTCAAAAAGCGAATTTTTTTTTGTTACAGTAAAACCATGGTTTTGATGGGGAAAACCATGGTTTTATGACAAACCATGGTCTCAGATAGGGCTGAGCAATGGGCGGGGTGGGCTAATTCGAAGGTTAGCCTATAGCCCGCCCATTTATTCATAAATGGGCATGGGCTAACCCATAACCCGGTAGTAGCTTATTTAGCCCGTATTAAATGGGTTACGAGGCAGCCCATTTGGGCTAACCGGGTTACGAGGTAACCCATTTATTTTTTTAAAATTTTTTTTCAGTATAGTTATTTTGTATATGTAACCTTATGAAGCTGTCAATAAATTTTGCATGCCAAATAGCAAATCAAATATGAAATAACATCAATCATATTCAATCACCCAACCTCACTTAGATTTGCAAACAATCAAAGTCTGATAAAATCATAAAAGTAGTCACCAATCATAAAGTCTCATAAACTTTGAAAGTTCCAACTTTCACCTAAAAGATAAAATAAAAGCTTAGACAAGCATAAGATTTGATAAAAGATGAATGAGAAACAATATCATCAATTAAATGAAGAATAAAATATTTTTAAAAAATTAAAACTTAAATGGGCGGTTATGGGCAGCCCGATACCTTGCCCATAGCCCAACTCGTTTAATGGGCTACCTTGCCCATTTAAGCCCGTCCGTTTATAATTTCTTATTTGGGCTAATTGGACGGGCTTAAATGGGCAAAAATTTCATGGGTCATGGGCGGGCTAGTGGGTAATGGGTTTGTTACTCACCCCTAGTCTCAGAAAATTATGGGGTGTTTGGATATTTTTTAGGGCAAATCTTAGTTTGTACTCTAAAAGTACTTTTTCCAATTTTTCCAAACAGCAAGGCCATGGGCTCTGCAGACTGAAATAGATTCAGGAATCTGAGTATGGTCGCAATATTCTATCTCAGACATTAGGACTAGTAAGCTCAGTGCTGTCTTTCTCTATCTAAAACCAAAACATGAAATTGGTCTAAAAGCATCAGTAGCAGCAGGCATTATAATGCAATGAATGCAAGTCAGTTTAATCTCTAGTTATTAGTTGAAGTAGACAGCAATTGGGTAAAGAAATGATAAAACGTGAAGAACCATGATGAGTGCTTACCAAATGATATTGGTTATTGTATTTGTGGCCTTCCTCTGTTAGATTTTATCCAATAAACTCAAAGGGAGCTCATCTAGTTTCAATTTTGAAACCAACGTATATTGTCTCTCACTTCTTCATACATTCTGTCAATTTTATTTGTTTAATTGAGAAACTAATACATTGATTTTTTAATTGTAAAAACAATTTTAAGTTAAATGTATATAATTTTAAGTTTATTATTAAATGTAAAAAAATTGTAACTTAATGTATATAATTTTAAGTTTATTATCAAATAATCAATGTCATTGTGCTCAGCATTTTGAACACAACTTTAGGGCACTTGATTGCAAAATTGCAAACGCTTTCTTCTTCTACATATCTCTTGACCACTCTTTGGAGGGGTGTCAGCTGCTCCTTGGGTCCTGCCCCTCTGCTGCCCTTTCATACAGGAAGTTCTTCCCAAATGTTTTTTTGTGTGGTGCTTTTGTTATTAGATTCTACATAAAATGAGTGACATTTTAATATCTTATTTACAAAAAATGGTTTAGTTTTCAATTATTTAGATTGCAATTAAATTAACTCGTTTGCTCTTATGATATATAGAATACCAGAGATTGTCTATTAGGATTCATAAAATGTTAAAAAGAATGTCTTAATAAGAGAACTAAAGGTGGTCTAAATGAGATTTGAACAGTAATAATATTATTCAGTATGTATATTAATTTGTGATGGCATATTCCGTCACAATTCTATCGCAAATGTGCGAGGGAATTTCCGTCACAAATGTCACAAAGTTTGCAACGGAATTTCCGTCACAAATCTGTCACAAATTTTGTGACTGAAATTTTGTCACCAATTAGCAGCGGACCGTTCCCTCACTAATCTGTCACAAATTTGTGATCGATTATCCATCACAATTTTGTTGCAAAATTAGCAACGGAGTCTGAAATTCCATCGCAAACCAAATTAGTGACAGCTTTTTTAGCAACAAGTGTTCTGTTGCAAATTCCGTCACAAATCAGTTTGTGACAGAGTAGCGACGAAAATTCCATTGCTAATTTGATTAGCGACAGAATTTTTGTCGCTAATCTTTTTTTTTTTTGGTAGTAACATAGGAGCATTGGGATATGACCATCTTGCATAATGTGTTGCAGCCCCAGTCACCACTGTGACGCAATCTAATCACAAAATAATTAGGCTGCCTACTGCTACATCGTTTAGTTATGAAGTTATTAATTATTAATATCATCAATACATTATTTGCAAATTCAAATTATATACCTCCGTCTTTATCTATGGCTTTGCTTTTTATTTTATATATATATATATATATATATATATATATTCTTACTAAACCTTGCTAATACTCCACTGTTACATATAACAAACAAAGATAATTAATTTCTCGTTGTTTTTTTCATTTTTTTTCAACTTTATTTTTGCCACACATTCATTCAATTTACAAAAAGCCAAAGTTTACACTACTTTCTCCAATATTGAATATAAGAGCCATACAGCTATTTTACAGATATTAAAAAAATTAAATTAGTTATTTATAACAGATGATTTTTGGTTTTCTTAAACTATTTTGTTGAATTATATATATGCATTGAAACAATCCATTGATTAGGAACCTCTTTAATATATGCAATTAATAAAGGTACTTTGAGAAATTTTTTTTACAAATTTATAAAGTAAAGCAAATTTAAATCTTATATTTAAAATTAAGATGGATATCTGATTTAACTCCGATATTTAGAATGGGAGTTGGGAATTTGTTTTCGTCTTCCGCCAATACTTTTTTATTTTTCCTTACTATTTTTGTGTATTTACCAATTAATTTGAAAAATCAAATTCTTGCAAATTACTACTTTTCCTAATCAAATTATTGCAAATTCCATCTTCTCCGCATTTTTTGATTAAAAGTTATGTAGATTATATTTACATTTTTTATTAAAAGATAATTAAGTGATTTTTAATTTTATTGAAAAAGTATAATTGCTTATTCTTGCACGTTAACATCCTGAACTTTTATTTTTCAGTCGAAATATTCTTTGGGACGGTATGTTCTCAAATCTCAAGCCTTCTATCCCGTAAAACCAAAAACTAGTTACAATTATGATACTCCTCCTATCCTTAATAAAGGACCTAATTGTTAAGCTAATTTTGGTCCTAAATATAAGATCTATTTATCATGTTTATTAATTTTTTTTAAATTACTCTTATGGATACTCCTTCAATCATAATCAAGAAAAAGAAGGAGAGGAGATATTAATGAAGATGATTATGGTGTTTTAGGAAAAATATGTCATATTTTGTATAATTAACTAATTTATCTAACTTTCTTAATCTAATCAAATTAGTTAAATATGTCTTATATTAAGGATTGTAGGAGTATTAGATATTAACACTCCAGGTAATAATAATTTTGCTAACATTTTTTTTGCCAACAATTTTTTTAACTGCATACATTTGGTCGTATCTTCCTATTGTCTTAAGATTCCAACCCCAACCAAATCCTCCCATTGGATGAAATAAATTACTCATTTTTAAAAATATGGTCAACAAGAAAAAATAAACAAAATAAAATATCAAAAAAAGAAACTTTTCAATCGGAAGCCTAATTTCTTGAGGAACAGAGATGCATGGGCTGGTACCTTTGAGAACTATTTTTACATTCGAGATACTCCTCGTGATGATTGTCCAGGTTTGTACAGCATCTTTTTAACTTGATTGCCATAGTCTGGGGAGGATTCAT